CTGCAGCCCCACAGCCATGGGGGCTCCTGGTGCTGCCTGTGGGGTGGAGGAAGTCAGAGGGACACGTTTCTCTCCTCCTGCCTGTTGGCATTTGCTCCCTGGGCACTGGATGTGTAAGGAAGGATGGAGTAGCAGGGCAGGGGAGTATTTCTCTAGGATATCACTATTCCCCCTGGATGTGGGATGGAGCAGCGATGGGGGTGGTTGGGTTTGGCTTGGGCCGCTCAGGATCAGCCATAAACAACCCACCAGACCCTGAACCCTCACTGGACATGTCCAGCCCCTCAAGTTGTTCATTTTCAACAGAGGACAAAGTCTTGGTATTTGCTTCTGATCTGTGGAGAATTTCCTTTGGAATGATCAACCAGGGAACGTATCACTGCAAAGCATCTTTTTGGATCTTTTTGTTTGTTTGTAATTTCCTCTCTGGCTTCAATGAGTTTAGTGTGCTCCTGTTAAGGAAGCAGTGTGTTTTTATCTTGAAATTTGGGGTGGTTTGGTTTGTTTAGGGTGTTTTTTCCCACACTGACTCGGGCCTTCCGTGCATAGTCCGTGTTGTCCTACAGGACTGCTTTGGTTCTGGGTCAGAGACAGAGAAGGGAAGTGGCTTTTCCTCATTTGAATGTTTCCAAGCAGAAGTGGGGCGTAGTCCTGCCCCGCCCCAAAGCACTGCAGGCGCATGGGAGTAGCTCAGGGCTGGCCCAGTTCTCTGAGACAGAACCATGGGGGAGAGGTTGAAGTATTAATAACATCTCTGGTGTCACTTGGTCACAAAGATTGGGTCCTCCAGTCCCAGGGTGTTAAGGAAAACAAGGAACTCCTGTTCTTCATGGCAAACCTTCTGTTCTTGCTTGTGCAGTCTTTGGGTTCTGTCGTCTGATTTCCTGTCCAGGATCTTTCTGAGAGAACCTGTTAGAAATTTAGAGGTAGGGTTAGAATTTGGGTGTGTTCCTTACCAAACTGCCTCCAGCTGCTGATGGACTGGAGCGATGAGTGCTCTCAGCACGGGTTATTTCTTAATTTTGCGTGGCTTTCCCTCAGCTCTGGGTGAGGAATTGTGCAAGCAAGGCCTGTGTGCCCGTGGCTGTCTCCCGTGTGCGTCCGTGTGGCAGGGCTGGGACAAGGACTCGTGCAGGGACTGAGCTGGCACTGGAGCTGCTGCCATTCTGAGCCATTGCCAAGGGGTGGGTAGAGAACATTTGGGAGGCTGTTCCAAGCATTCCATTGGTAGCTGGATCTCCCTCCAGCTGCAGCAGCCAGGGGAGGGTTCTTCCTTGTCCAGCCCAGTAGCTTCTGCTCAGCCTGGCCCAGAGTGGGGCTGGGGCAGGTTCTCCAGGGAACTGGAGCCAGCCCTGGACGGGGCTCTGGAGAGCAGGGAGCTGCAGGGACTGATGTTTGCAAAGCTGAGCTGAAGTTTGTCAAAGCAGCAGAACATTCTCATTCTTGTGGGTTTGTGGAGTCCGTGTTGGTGCCCAGGAGAACTGGGTCAGACTGGGTTTTGTGGTCCGAGAGCTGCCCCCCTAAATTTGGCAGGCTGTGTGATGGAGATGAAGTGGTATCCCCAGAGGCTGATGGTTTGTGTCTCCAGGTATCCCCAGGACGCTGCTAATCCCGAGGGATCTGCTCCGGCTCCAGGCTGTCCGTGCTGGAGCGCCCTGGTGGCTGCAGTCCCTGAGCCCGCAGAGACAGAGAGAGCCCTGGCCCGAGTGGCCTTTGGCACCTTGTCCTGAATTTGGGGTGAGCCTGGGAGCGTGTGGAAGCTGAGAATGAGGGCTTTGTTTCCAATGCATCATCCCTGGGAAGATCCTGTTGCTCCAGAGCGCTGGGGACAGTTTGGGCTCGGCAGCTTCAGAGCTGGATTGGAACAGTCCCTGGAAAGAATCAGGAGAGTGGAGGTTTGTCCCAGTGGTGCTTTCACGCCCCACTTGACAGTCTGGGCTTTGTGCTTGAGGTTGTCCTGGATTTGCTCTGCAGATAATGGGCCCTTCCCAGTTCAGCCCAGCAGATCCCAAGGGCTCTGACAGGAATATTTGTTCTTTCCTTCCCTTTGGGATAACTTCATCTCCAAACTGCCAGGAGCAATTCCTTCATTTCTCCTGGAGAAAACCAAGTGTCAGAGGCGGTTTGCCAAGGAGCCCAGAAGTGTCTTTGGAGCAGAGAGTGCTGCCAGCTCCGTGTGCCCGTCCCCAGCCTGGCACTGGCCACAGGGACACACTGGGCACAGACCATTAGAGGGAACAAAACCACTGCCTGCCAGAGGGTTTGTCCTGTGCCAGTCAGTCCTGGGGCAGCAATCGGACTGGGGAACTCCATCAGCTGCTCTTCCCCCACACAGCACCATCCCCATGGGCATTAATGACGTGCCCTGTGCCCAGCGCTGACTGTTCACCCAGCTGAAACCAAAGCAAGGCTTGCTGTGCTTCCAACAACTTAAAGGAACTTTAAAACAAAATAAATCACTTTTTTCTTCTTTTTTTTTTTTTTCTTTTAGATGCTGGAATTGCCTCTCTGGGTGTGTGCTGAGTTCTGGCTGCAGGGGACTGTCAGGCCTTGGTGGCTGTGAGTTCCTGTTCTTCTCACTGGGAAACTGGAAAGAGTCATTAATTGGATTGCAGAAATGTTTTCTGAAGCCTGTCCCCTTCTTTGTGCCTTTTGCTGACAGATCTTCTCTTTCAGCCTTTGAATGTGCAGCCTCCTTGCAGCTCCCAGCTGGGGGAACCTGGGATAACTTAAGAGGGACAAAGATGAGGGTTTTATCTGCAAACTTGGGGTAATTTCTAGGGGATATAGCAACTGTTTATGTAGGAAGGTGTGTTTAACCACATTGGCCCAAGTTGTGTTTGCACCAGCTGGGGCCAGAGATGCAAGGCAATCCAAAGCAAACCCTGCTCAGCCTCCAAATCCCAGGGGAAGTTCTCCAAGCTGCTCCTTGAGGGACTAAAGATCCATTAAAATGGACCCAAGAGCACTAATAAGTTTCCTGGGAATCCCAGTATTGTTGTCCTAGAATTTTTAACAGGTTTTTAAGCTTTTTATGACAATAATCGCTTTCTTCCTTTGATTGAGTCCCTCGGTAGGATTTGGGGCTTCTTTGGATTCCGAATCCCTCCCAGTGGCCCTGCCACTGGTCAGGAACTGGCAGGACAAACAGAGTCAGAGCTCCTGGCAGGCCCAGGGGTTTTCCCCAGAGTGGATCCAACTGCTGCCCCCCAGCCTGGCCAGGCAGGATCTGCTTTGGCTCCCGGCTTCTGCCAGTGAAACAGGAGGGGAAGCCCAAAAGAGTGAACTAAGAAACTTGGGCCTGCTAACAAGTTCCTTACATCCCAAACGTTCTGTTCTGCTAACTGGACCGAAGCTTAACAGAGTGCTAAAGGTACATGGAATGGGCCTAGAGGCAATAAATTAGGATTCAGGAAGCTAAAGTAGACATTGGAATAGGAGAAATAGGCCGGGAGCCAGGGCTTTCTCCAAGCTGGAGCGAGCGGGTCAAGAACAATGGGAAGGAAGAAAGGTCGGACTGAGGAAGATGAGAATACGCCCCCTGCCCATGGGATGAAGATGGGATCTCCCCCTAAAATTGGGGATAGAGAGAAGCGCTGCCCCAAGCTCCACCTGAGCTCCACCTATACTCTGCCTGTTATCAATATGTATGAATAGATGCTGCAATCACTTGAATATGCATTTAATCACACCTGAAAAATTGTATAAAACTGCTGATTTTGTGTGAGGCCTTCGAGCAAGTTTTTCCAGCAATAGCTGGCTCGCTCCCAGCGCTGCTAATAAATACCTTTGCTGCTTAAAGAGAAAAAGTCTCTGAGCAGTTTCTCGGAGCGATTTTTCGGATTCAATCCTCAATCCAAAAGTCCCCCCAAAGTCAGGGCTGCTGGCCGGCCCTGCCCCAGCCTGGCACTGCAATGGCAGGTTGCAATGGCCCGGATGGGCTTCATTGTGAATCCGAAAAATCG